GGACTCCAGGATCATGACCTGAGCCGAAGGCAGTCGCTTAACCAACTGAGCCACCCAGGCGCCCCAGGATGTCTGAGTTTAAATCTCAGCTCAATCACTTACTAGTTATAGTCCTTAGTCAAGTTACTGTTTTTTTGCACCTCAGTTTCCTTATCCAAAAATAAGAATAATAGTATTTACCTTATAGTAAGTGCTTACTTTTTAGGATGGTTGTTAAATCAAATGAGTCAATCTACAAAAGCACTGGTAACAATGCCTAGAATATAGTAAGACTCAACAAGTAGTAGTAAAGAATAGTAACAGTGGTACAAATAGCAGTGGAAGAAATAATGGCAGTGGCAATAGATAGTTGGGTATGTGCATGGACTGATGAATGAATAAATAGGTTGGATGCACTGATGGGAGGAAGGTTGAAGGAAAAACAGATGCGTGTATGGGAGGATGATTTCTGAATGGTTAAGTAGGTGAGGGTGTCTCTAGGATTTATCATACACGCTAGCCTATGTTTATCTCCTGCATTTCAGAACAGTGAAGATTGATGTGTACGACTGGGACCGGGATGGAAGGTAGAACTGCCCCACATAGTACTGTCTTCTTTTGTAGTTAATTTAAACAGCTTCCTATAATACGTAGTACATTCACTAGGAAACCAAAGTGGTTTTGGGAGTCAAGAAGGGTGATAATAGATGCCAGGACCTTGAGTACAACTGACCCTCTCAGTTGGATCTTCCTTCTCTCCCCCTTAACTTGGCCTCTCTTCTGGCCCCAACCCCAGTGCCCTGCAGCCCAAGTAGAGGCAAGGGATAATGGGGGCAAAAGACTAGTTTCAGGGCTGGTTCCAAGCCAACAGTAGCTGCTGCTCACCCACCCCGGCCTCACTGCAGCCATGACTTCATCGGTGAGTTCACCACCAGCTACCGGGAGCTGAGCAAGGCCCAGAACCAGTTCACAGTGTATGAGGTGAGAACTCCAGCTCTGTCCAGGTTGCCCAGGCCCTCCATCCCAGTGTGCTCAGTCTGTAGCTCCCTTCCTCTGTTTCCCACCATCACTGTTATCTTCTTCACTTAGGTACTTAACCCTCGGAAGAAATGTAAGAAGAAGAAATATGTCAATTCAGGAACTGTGAGTGTTCCCTGGAGCTCTGGCCCTCCCTAGATCCTTCTGTTTCTATTCCCACTGACATAGTATGATGAATGTTGGGGGAAGGCTGTGGGCACAGATTACTTGGATATAGTAACGTTGGGCCCAAGGTGGCTCCATTTAAGTTTCTTTTGTTTTCTTTTGATTTCTCACCTGAGGAAAATTGTTTGCTCATTACTGTTTTGCAGATTTTTTTTAAACTTAAGTTGTATTTCCCAATTTAATACACTTTTGAAAATCCAAATATGTTTCTGACAGCTTCCTCTTTTTTGCCCTTTCAGAAATTAGACAGGGATGGGGAGTGTGCAGTAGGGGATGGAATCATGTGCCTCTCTGCCTTCTGCCACCCAACTGCCCTTTCCAAAGTAGCAGGGCTGTCTCTTTGCCCCACAGGTGACGCTGCTCTCCTTTTCTGTGGACTCTGAATTCACTTTTGTTGATTACATCAAGGGAGGGTGAGTCACAGGCCAGGTTCTGGGCTGAAAGACCAGCATTGAGTTACTCCCAGTTCTAAGCCTCAGTTTTCATATTTATGAATGGTTAGGGTCCATGGAGATAAACTTTTAAACACTTGGCAAACTATAAAGTGCTCTGTAAAATGCATAATGTTGCCCATCTTAGTTTTCTTCATGAAGCTGACTTTCATCCCTAGCTTCCAGTCCTCCCATGGGAAGATGCGAGACAGGTGGTCTTCAAAGATGGCCCCAGTAACCTGACTGGGGTCCAAATAAAAATCATGGCCAGGCAACAGGAAGAGGCCAAGAGAGAGGGAAAACCCAAGCAGACCAAAGAGGACATTCCTTTTGGCTCAGTAGTGGTAGGCAGACGTGGGTAAAGTACTTTGCTTCTCTGAAGCTCACTTTTCTCCTATGCAAAATGGAAGTGTTCATTACTACTTCAGGGCTATAGTAAAGATTAAGTTAAATGACATAAATTACATACACTTGTCACACAGTAGGCATTTAATTCTGCTACCCAGAGTGTGCTCCATGGACCAGCAGCATCGGCATCATCTGGGAGTTTGTTAGAAATGTAGAATTTCAGGCTCCACACAGATCATCCAGACCAGAATCTGCATTTTAACACTATCTCCAGGTGATTCGTATGCACACTAGTGTTTGAGAAATCCTGATATAATATGTATGTCCCTCACTTCTCAATTGATCTACTTCCCCAACAGGACACAGCTGAACTTCACAGTAGCCATTGACTTCACAGCTTCTAATGGTGAGGCATGGATGGGGGAATGGGGTATGGAGGAATTCTAAGGAATTCATTAGGGATTGGCCTGGATTCTGACCTGGGGATAAGAGTTCACCTACCGAGGGGTGCCTGGGTGGCTCAGTCAGTTAAGAGTTCACCTACCCAGTAAGCCCAGGCTTGAGGCAAAGCCCAGCTAGGCTGGTACTGGGACAGGAGTTTTGGGAGGAGATTATTGGGTATAATGGGGGACAGAGGGTAAAAGAAAAAAGGTGTGTCAATTTTAAAAAGTTGAAAGGAGAGATACCTCAAGAAGTGGATGAGTAAATGAATGGATGGGAGATAATAGGAGTGTAAGGAGAAATGAAGCAGTAAATGTGAGTGAGTAATGACTGGGTAGGTAAATAGATGAATAAACCAAGTAGGTAGTTGGGTTAGTGAGTGAGTACAATAGGTTGGACAAGTGGATGCATGAATAGGCATGCAGGTGGACAAATGGACAGATGTTTAAATTGGAGAAATAACAGGTAAGTAGACAGGATAATGAATGAGAGTGGATAGGTGGATGAATCCATATGAAGACAGAATGAATGGAAATGAATAGGAATGATGGGTGGGTGGTAGTTGGGTAGATACTGGATAAGAGAATGGAGAGGAAGATGGCTAGAAATGGATGGGTAGATTGAAAGATGGATTTATGTCCAGTGGATGGGAGAATGGATATGTGGGTAAGTGGATAAATTGATTGATAAATATAGGGGTTGGTGGATGGATAGACAGATAAATGAACATATGGACGACTGGGCAAAATAATGAGGGAGTACATGGGTAAAGAGTGGGTGAATGGATAGGCGGTTGGATGTATACATGGATGGACAGGTGAATAGATAAATGATCAAGGTGACCATGAGGCTGGGGGTCCTGTGTCCCTACAGGGAATCCTCTGCAGCCCACCTCCCTGCACTACATGAGTCCCTACCAACTCAGCGCCTATGCCATGGCCCTCAAGGCAGTGGGAGAAATCATCCAGGACTATGACAGTGACAAGCTCTTCCCAGCCTATGGCTTTGGGGCCAAACTGCCTCCAGAGGGACGGATCTCCCACCAGTTCCCCCTGGTATAGTATAGGCCGGAGCCTACGCTCCATGCCCTGGCATCTGGTCCACTCAAGTTGGTGAATTTCTTCTCAGGATCAAGTACCTGCAGAGGACCAGGAAACTATGAGAGGGGAGCAGAGCAGGGAGGGGAGCAGGGCTGGAGTTTGGAGGGGAGCATGAGAGAGAGAGAGATGGAAAAAAGAAGGAGTGAGCTGGGATCAGAGTACTCCTGGGTATACGCAGCATGGTTCAGCCTAGCAAGGCATCTTTCCTGACAGAACAACAACGATGAGGATCCCAACTGTGCGGGCATTGAAGGTGTGTTGGAGAGCTACTTTCAGAGCCTGCGCACAGTGCAGCTCTATGGGCCCACCTACTTTGCTCCTGTCATCAACCAGGTTGCCAGGTAAGGGAACTGGGTGGGGGCTGGGAGGACTGAGGGGACCCAGACAGGGGACTGACTTCCCAAGGATAGTCAAGACCACTCTTGGGTGAACCTGGGCTTTGGCGAAAGGGTAAAGTTTTCAGTGTTGGCCAGGCTCTGATATAAAGAGATAAATGCCTTATTCTGGGGTAGAGAGGGTGTGAACAAACTACCCCAACCCCACTCTTTGGGAACAACAATTCAGGCCTCAAGTTTGGGGAAAAGAGAGATGGTCCTATAACACAATAATTAAGGCACAAGCTTTGGCATCAGACCTGGCTACACCCCTCACCAACCATGTGAACTGAAGCAACTCAGCCTAAGTCCCCATTTTATCCCTACAAATGGGTATAAGGATAACAATAGCACTTCTTTATAGGGTTATTGGGAGGTTAAAATTAGATAACAAATTAAGAATTATTAGCAGTGTCTGGCCCTTAGTAAGTGCTCAATAAATGGTAGATTAAAAAATAGGAAAGTAACTTCTAAAAATAAAAGAGTAACTCCAGGGGCACCTGGATGGCTCAGTCAGAAGAGTCTGTGACTCTTGATTTCAGAGTTGTGAGTTGTTTTGTTTTTTGGTTTTTTTTTAAGATTTTATTCATTTATTTGACAGAGAGAGAGAGGGAACACAAGCAGGGGGAGTGGGAGAGGGAGAAGCAGGCTTCCCACTGAGCAGGGAGCCCGAAGCGGGGCTCGATCCCAGGACCCTGAGATCATGACCTGAGCCAAAGGCAGCCCCTTAACCGACTGAGCCACCCAGGCGCCCCTCAGAGTTGTGAGTTTGAGCTCCACGTTGGATGTAGAGATTACTTAAATGAATAAATAAATAAACACTTAAAAAAAAAACTCCAAATTTTCAGAATAAAAAAAAAAACAAGATCACATATCAAATCACTTTTTAAAAGGCAAATAAAATAAAATGACAGAACTAAAACCAAACATATGTCACTAAACATAAATTGGGTAAGTTCACCTATTAAAAGAAAAAGATTCTCTGATTGAATAAAGCAATAAAATAATAAGTAAATCCTACAATATGCTGAATAGAAGAGACCTAGCTAAAACAAAGTACCTCAGAAAGCTTGAAAGTAAAAAATTAAGCAAAAAAAGAGAATACAAATGGAAGGATTTCAGGGAGGTTTATATGCCTATAGACTTCCCTTTTCCCTGATAAAGATTGTTTATGTAATTCATAATGAATATAATAGTTTCTTTCAATTATGAAAGTAACATAACATTGCTGTAAAAAATTTCAAGGATGGAGAAATAAAATAAGAGATCATCCAGAATACTGCCCATGGGAATATGGATGCATATACAGTTCTTGACAGTTTTTTCCTTATGAATCCATAATTGCAGTCAAATTACATGCAGGGGGGCCTGGCTGGCTCAGTCAGAAGAGCATGCGACTCTTGGCCTCGGGATTGTGAGTTCGAGCCCCACACTGGGTGTAGAGATTACTAAAAAATAAATAAACTTAAAAAAATACATGTAATAGTTCACTACTGATTTTTTCACGTAGTATTGGAGACTGAGCATATTTTTGTTGTTATTAAACAGATTTCTTAATTTTATCTTAGTTCATTCATTCATTCATTGAATAAACATTCAATAAAGAGGCAATGTAGCATGAATGTGGGCTGTGGGGCCAGACTAAGTCGATACACCCACTCTACCACTCCCTAGCTGTGTGAATTTGAGCAAGACCCTGAACCTTTCTATGCCTGTTTCCTCAATTGTAAAATGATAATAATAATAGTAATATCATAGGGTTTTTGTGAAGGTTAACTAAATTAATATATGTCAAGCTCTTAGTGCCTGCCACATCATAACTGCTATAAGTGTCAGCGATTACTGTTACTATTATTATCATTATTACTATTCAAAGGGCATCTGCTGTATGCTCAGTTCTCTGCTGGGGCACTGGAGACTCACAGATGAATCACATCTAGTCTCTGCCCTTGGGAGCTCCTGCCTTGGTGCAGGAGACAGAAATATAAATAAATCATTACTTTCCATAGGCCAGAGCTTCCCAGACTTTCCCAGCAAGTTGCCTGTTGGCAAAGGCAAGTGATTGCTTCCCCCAGGGGAATCTTAGGGGCACAGCTGAAAGCAACCAGGCTGAAAATGTCTTTGAAGTCACCATATTTATCTTAAAAATTCATGCAAATTTTACATCCTCCTCATGTTGTGTCCATGTTTGCTTTAATTTGGAGGAGAAAAAGGTGTTTTAAGTATACTTAGAGTCATCTAGCTTTATCCACCAGATCATACAGTAGAATGGATGCTCCAGGTATCCTGTGACCTTGGGTCTCCCTGGGCACACATGCTGGTACCCTCATGGGTGTGAAAACCCATGTGGAAGGGCTGACAGCCCAAATTGGTGGGTGGTATCCTAGAAGGCAGAGGGAGAGGAGGGGAGGGTATAACCTAGTCTGAAAGACCCAAGGGAGCCTAACTTGTGGAGGGGAATTCTCAGCTGGGTCTAGAGGGCAAGTTGGACTTTAATCAGAAAAAGAGATGCAGAGTAGGCCTGGCAGAAGGAACAGCATGTGAAAAAACAGAGTCATAAAGAGGCAAGCTCAGGAAACAGTAAACAGTAATATTATGACCAGAATGTACCACATATATGGAGGAGTATCTAAAGAACAGGCCAGGAATGGAGAGTGAAGGAATCAAAAGCTCAGGCTTTAGGCTTAGTTGGGCTCTTTTACTGAGCATTTGAAATGTAGCTTGGGTGAACAAGAAACCAAATATTTACTTCTATTTAACTTAATTAATTTAAATTTCAGTAGTCACATGTGGCCAGGGTCTGCCTTACTGGGTAGTGCAACTCCGTCCTTTCCAACTCACTCAGTGCCTAAGACTGGGAGTCAAGAGACCAGGATGTACCATGACCTTTGTGCTCTCTGAAGGTCTCATATTTCTTATATGTAAAATAAGGGGACTGGACTCAATGGCTTCTGAAGTCCTTTTCAGATAGAAAAATCTTGGATTCAAAGATTGATGGTGAGAGAAGGGAAAGGAGCTTGGGAGCAGCTGTTAGACTGGCTAAGGACCCAGCAGCATAGGCAGTGGGAGGTGGTCAGCAGAGGGGAGAAGGAAGAAAGAAGAAATGAGTGAGAAAGGGAAGAAAGGAGGCCTTTAGCCTTTGGTCTTGCCCTTGTATAAAAACCAAAATCTTCCTAGGGGCCGTCAAAGCCCTGTGTGATCTGGCCCCTACCCCACCTCAGCCACATGGCCCACTTTGCTTCCCTCACTTTCTGGGCTCCAGACACAGTGGGCCTCCTTCAGTCCCATCACAAGGCCCTTATCTGTGCTGTTCCCTTTGTTCCTCCCCTTTGCTTAGCCTCTCCTTCATCCTTAAACATTGTTTCCTTAAAGAAGCCTTCACTGACCTGCTGGACCATGTCAGGATCCCCTACTAGACACTGTCATAGCGGTGTCCCTTTCCATCACAGTACTCATCACAAGAGTAATTATACCTATTTCTGTGATTCTGGGATTAATGTCCTCCCTCGAGATGGCTGGGATGAATTTGTTTTTTCTCATTGTGTACCTCCAGTGCCTACCATAACACAGTAACTACCAAAGTAAGTTCTCCATAAATGTTACTGGAGGGATATCAGGCAGGGGCAGGCATCCAGGTTTAGGGAAGGAGCATGAGCTTCAGAAACCCCAATCCTTGCCCACTGCTTATACAGTGGTGGTGGAAGCTTTAGGGATAGGGTGTTCCCTTGGACTCTGGACTTTCAGCTGGATTCTGATCTTGGACTCTCAACCAGGGCTGCAGCCAAAATCTCTGATGGTTCCCAGTACTACGTTCTGCTCATCATCACTGATGGGGTAATCTCTGACATGACGCAGACCAAGGAGGCTATTGTCAGTGTGAGTCTAAGGAGGAGGGCTTGGCAGGGAGGGGCACTTTTAATAACTGTGAAGGGTTTGAGGTTTTACCCTACTTGCAAGCTAACAAATTAGCCCTCCAGTTTCATGGATGCTGGCAGAAGACACAAGACTCCTGGATTGGAGACAAAGGACTTTGTTATTCTCAGCCATAGTAGTAGCTCAATTATCAGCATTTGCTTTGATTCTAAGTCCCAGTTCCCACAAGATGTTGTGAGGAGGGTCAAATGACACCTGCAGTCACAGTGGGATGCACTGTAGGTCAGAAACCCTGAGCTTAGGGTATCTGAATCTTTTATAATGGGCAGTAAGCATGCCTGCCCTTTGTTCTGGTGTGAGATACTTTATTAAACTGAATAGTAAACAAACCTGCCCTTTGCTCCAAAGGAACACACTTTATCTTTCAAGGCTGTTTGATATGCAGATGTCCTTGAAAAGATAGTCTGAAACAAAGAGAATCAGTGCCTCTGCTTGCAAGATGTACAGAAACATGATACATGCACAGAGAATTGTCCCCAGTAGTCACCTCCATTGTTATGATTGCTCACCCCAACCATTCAACCTCTTTCCCTCACAGGCCTCCTCACTGCCCATGTCTATCATTATTGTCGGTGTGGGACCAGCCATGTTTGAAGGTGAGTAGGATCATGGGTGTCCAAGAATGAGACCAAGAACTGGGGAAAATAGGGGAGGATCTGGGCACCCAGGCCTGTCTAACATAAAAGATAAGATGGATGCCTGTGTTGGACCTTGGCCAAGTCACAGACCTTCTCTGAACCTATTTCTTTATCATAACCAAGGCTGTCGATATGAATACTTCCTTCTTGGGGTTCCTTGGTGGATGGAATGCATAATAACAACTCCATAACAGTGCCTAAAATTTGTTAGGACTTGAATACAACCACTAAATATTCTCATGATGACTCCGAAGTGGAGCTAACAAGGAGGGGGGTAGCATGGGTTTGGTGTGGGAGAGGGCAATCAGCTGAAGAGTGTCTTCTCTGCAGCAATGGAAGAGCTGGATGGTGATGACGTGCGCGTGTCCTCTAGGGGACGCTATGCAGAACGGGACATCGTTCAGGTAGATCTAACCAGGGAGAAGTCATGGAGCCAAAAGGCACAGTGGGAAAGACAGGCTAAGTTGGCAGCCACTCTCCCATACTGTCTTCTTAATCATCTACCTTTCTCCCCATTACTCTTCCAGCTGTCCTGCATTCATTGAACAAATTCTTTTTGAGAAACAGGCAGGTTGCTGCAGCCATTCTGGATCCATTGTATAGGAGATCCCCAAAGCCCCCACCCTCTAGTGGAGGCAACCAATAATAATCACACAGCTAAATCTCTATTAGATTGTGACAAGTGCTCCAGAGGAACAGCAAATGCCACTATATATATATGTAGGTCCTATAACAGGGACCTGATTTAGCAGGGTAGTCAGGGAAGGCTTCTATAAGGAAATGACATTTGAGCTAAAACCTAAAGGAGGGTTGCTCTACCTAAACATTGCAGGTAGAGAAGCAGCACATGCAAAGGCCCTGAGGCTCAGAAGAATAAGCCCAAATATGGAAAAGGCGAGAGGCCAGGGGGCAGGATCCCAGGAAATGCGACGAAGAGGGAACCAAGGCCTTGTTGGTTATGATGAAGATTTGGAGTTTTGTTCTAAAGGATTAGAAATCTCTTGAAGGATTTTACATAGGGGACTGAGATGGTCAGACTTGCATTTTCAGAGGAGCTCTGCTGCATGGAGGGTTGACAGCAGCAGGTTGAGAGAGATGGCAAGTAGACAGACCTGTTAGTGAAGAAGCCTTTGAAGTAGCAGAGGAGAGATGACTGGGATCTGGACAGGAATGGAAGCAATGAGGATGGAGAGAAGAAGCAGGTTCAAAAGATTATTTAAGAAAATTTTACAAGAGTTGATGCTTTGATTAAATGGTGATGAGGAGTGAGGACGGCTTTAAGGATGACTCTCAGTTTTCTAGCTTGAGCAACTGAATGAGTGATAGTCCCATTTATTGGGAAGGGGAAGCCTGGGGGAGGAACAGATTTGGAAGAAAGGGCCAGAACTCAGTTGTGAACACACTGGGTTTGAGATATCTAAGACAAGTGAATGGAGATGTGATATGGGCAACTAAATATGTGGCCCTGGACCTTAAAAAAGAGGCCAGGGATGGATGTATAAATTTGGGAGTCATCAGAGTACAGTTTTTAAAGTCATGTAAGTATATGAAATCACCCAGGAAGAGAACTGAGAGAGAGAAGTGACCAGGTTTAGGATCAGGTAGATCCCAGAGGAATGGGGGTGACAGGGAGGAGCATCCAGGAAGGAACAAGAAAATCCAGAAGAGTGTGGTATGTCAAGAGTGGGATGTGTCTAGTAGGAAGAGTATGGTCAAATGTAATGAAAAGCTAAAGAGAAGTCAAGCAAGATGAAGACTGACAATTATTGCCCACTGGACTGATTTGGTAACATAAGGGCTATTACACTGGCAAGAGCAGTGTCAGTACTGAGTGAAGCCAAACTGGAGTGGGTTGAAGGTGAATAGAAGGTGAAAAAAAGGGGGTGGGAGAAAGTAAATGTGGAAAGCTGTCCAAAATGGGCGGGGGGAAGAGATAGTGTGATATTTGGAAAGAGATGTTAGGAGTCAAAGAGGAAACCTCCTTACTGCTCCCCTTCCCATTCCTCTCTTCCCTGGCCATTACCCACACCTGGTTGTCTGTGCCTGTCCCAGTTCGTCCCATTCCGAGACTATGTTGACCGGTCAGGAAACCAGGTGCTGAGTATGGCCCGACTAGCCAAGGACGTGCTGGCTGAGATCCCAGAGCAGCTGCTGTCCTACATGCGCACCAGGGATATCCAACCTCGCCCCCCACCTCCTGCCAACTCCAGACCAACTCCCGCTCCAGAACAGCCCTGAGGAGCCTACCTATTCCGTAACTAGCAGCCTGCTTGCCTGCCCACCCACTGCTTCTGCTGAAAGCCAGAGGCACCTGGAGCCCTGGACCTTACTGAGTCCAGCTTAGAGGATCAGTGCTGGCTGGTCGAGCCCTCTGTCCCCTCACCCATAGAAGGGCCTGGCACTGTCACCACCTCCCTGCCTTCATGCCAATAATAAAGCTGATCTTTACTCCACCTCTGTCTCATGGTTCTTGGGGAAGGAGAGTGGGGGACCTGGGGGCCTGGGGCCACACCAAGAGAAGTGAGCAAAAATAGCTTCAGTTAGGGTTCATCCCCATCCTATCACCCATCCATCCAATCACTTCTTCAGACATTCTTCAAACACTTTAAGAAATGATAAGTGAAACTTTGTGTGCATGTTTTTTTCTGAAGAGAGGCCCATAGCTTTCATCAGGTTCTCAAAGGGATTCCTGACCTCAAAAGGGGTCAGCTTTCCAATGACTGTCTAATTCTGCTCTGATCCATTTATTCTGAATCTTTTAATGAGGATAATAAAAACAGCTATAGACTTGAGTATTCATTACATATGGAGGCGATTTACAAGCATATTCTTATTTAATCCTCACAACAATCCTGTGAGGTGAGCACTATATCTTATCTCCACTTTATACATCAGGAAACTGAGGCTCAGAAGGGTTAAGTCGCCTTTTGAAGAGAACTCATCAGTTTGACTCCAGATCCCAAGATCTTAACCAGCAAACATCTTTCTGGAGTGTTGCTTTTATTAGGATGTTTTACAGAAAACATTATTTATGAAAATACATACATTATAGTGGGTCGAATGCAAGGTTTGCATTAAGATATAATAGAAGCTTCCATTTACTCCGAGCTTTGCCCCAGAATCCTGGAAGACCCTTTCACGCTCTTCTTTGGATGGCAAAACTGAAGAGGCTCAGCAACAAGCATTGCCTAACAAGTGGACCCTTCCCAGCACCCAAGAACTGACCAAACCCCCAAGAACTGACAATAGTTTTTGAGCCCTCTTTTATAAATGCGGAATTTAAGGTAGGAAGAATTTAACAACTTGCTACTTGTTCACATAGCTACTAAGTGGCCCAGTCACATTAAAAACAATTGTCTGTTTTGACAGTCTTCCAACCTTCCACCCATAGCCATGATGCATTTCCCCGCCAACCCTAAAGGGTTCCCAGCATCTGAATCCCATTTTACCATGCACAAGTCTTTTCACCAGCCTTTTACACCTCCCCAAATTCGGCCCCTTCCTTCAGATCCACACCTTTCCTCCAGTCCTGCTCCTTTGCCTTTCCCAAGCTCCTTCCCTTTCCTCCAGCCACTCCCGTTACCCTTAACCTGGTCCCGCCCTTTCCTTCCAGCCCCGCCCCTTTACCTTTTCCACGCCCCGCCCTTTCACTTCAGTCTCGCGTCGTTATTCCCAGCTCTGTCCTTTCTCCCCAGCCCAACGCCTTCCAGGCCCATCTAAAATCCCTCCCTTTCTTTCCCGAGGCCCACTCTTCTGTTTAGCCCCACCCTTTTACCCCTGTTCAGCCCCTATTCTCCTTACTGAGGCCCGCTTTACAGATGTCCCCGCCCATTCGCCGCAAACTCCGCCCCATGGACTGGTTTATTCTCCGCCAGACCCGCCCCACCCCTACCCATAACGCCGAGCCCTTCCTCAGGCTCCAGCCTGCGTCCCTCTTGCTCCCGGACCTGCCCCCAGCCCCGCCCCATGGCTCCAGCCCCGCCTCGCCGCCTTTCTCGGAGACCAAGGCCAGGTCCCTACTGCAGCCGAGGCGCCAGCAGGAGGGAGGGAGGAGGCAGAGGGGGAAGGGAGAAGGGCGGGCTCCTCAAGCCCAGCCCCGCGCTCACCGTCCGTGTCCGCAGATTCGCCACAAACGGCCCGACTACTCCGGATCCCGAATATCGCGTCTTCAGTCTACAGAAACTCAACTCTAAGATGGAGGTGCTAGAGAAGCCATGTGGGAAGCCATGTGGGGCGTCCAGGGACTCTTTTGAGTCTCAGAGAATGGCCTCTCGAGACTCAGCAGGCGGGCGGGGATCTGTGGCGAAAGTGCAGCTCGACAGCGCCGAGGCGCCGAGTTTACCCTGCGCAGACGCCGTCGCCGCCGCTGCTGCCGCCGCCGCTGCCACTGCCTTTGCCGCCACGGTCTCCGCCACCACTGTCCCCGCGCTGCCTCCGGGAGCCTCCATTGTTCCGGCGGTGTCGGGTCCCGAGGCCGGACAACCTAGGGGTTTTCGAAACGGGCGGCGGCCGACGGAGTTGAGACACCAGGGCGCCGGCGGGACCGGGAGCGGCAGGGGTCAGCGCGGGAATCCCGGGGAGCCGGGGCCAGAGCGTGGGGCGGCAGGGGACCGGGGTGGCGAGATCTGCGGTCTCCGGAGTTGGGGCTGTCTCTCCCCGGCCCGTCTTTCCCCGCCGGCCTCCCCAAGTGGGGTCGGAGCCCCGGCGGGCGCCCCCGGCGATGAGCCCGGACTCGAGGTGGCCGGTGAGTGCGGGCCTGGGACCGGGGCGGGAGTGGCCAGCGGGGAAGGACTAGACTACTTTCGTGGGGCGTGCGCTGAGCTGTCTGGCCCGGCTGCCCCTTGGGCTACTCCAGCCGGGAGAACTGACAGTGCATTACCTCCCAGCCCGCGTCCCAGGGCAACAGAGTATCCTCCAGGGCTGCCTGGGCCAATGGCAGGAGGGGAGCCTTGTTTAACATGTTACACTTCGACAAAAGGGAAACGTCGCCGCATCCGGGAGAGGGCTGCGGGCACCGCCTGGGCCCGGCCTGATCGCTCCGGCCCCCGCCCCCTACTTCCTCCAGCCCCCTGAGCTCTGCCGCCATACCCCTGTGGGCCCTGTGCCTTCCTCACGGGCTTCCAGTCTGAGTTCTTGTCTCCACCGCGTGTGCCTCTGCCGCCCAGTCCCAGCGGGACATCTGCCCGGGGCTCTGTGCTACTTTGGGAGCCAGGGCGACAGAGCCGCAGCGTACACCAGGGACCCATAATTGAAAAAGAAGAGCTTGCGTGTTCCTCTGATTGGTTTGTGTTTAAAGACACAGCTGCAGGTAGGAAGTAAAAGTTGAAGTAGTTTTACCAACGTAGAAGTCAGGGGCTTTGACAGAGAGGCTGGAGCAGCCCACTTGGCTTAGCTAAGTAGCTGGAGAGAGGCCAAGAGGGGTCACTGTTTGGCTTTGCCTGGAATGGTGCCAACACCCTAGCTGAATTGTTGAACTCAACTAGGCCTGGAGAAATTGGGGCAGTCTCTGACCAAGCTGGGCTTCCTGGGGGCTGGTGCCATCTGCTGTCACTACTCACCTAGGAACACTGGCGAGGAGGAAGGGAAGGCCCTGAGGACCATCATGGAGCTGAGTGTGCCTAGATTGTCATGTTCCTGTTTGTACCCTTAGTACCTGGTATCACTCCCAGGGCCAGAGTCTGGTACCACTCCCAGAGCCAGGGCCAGGGCATAGGCTTCCCCTAAAGACCTCAGAAATGAACTGCTTTTTTCTGTAATGCAATGATTTCTGCTGGTGCCCAGGATTAAATCATTGGCCACCCATTCAAGCAAGCTTCTATATGGGTTAACACTAGCCTTCATCCATCTGTCAGCTCCAAATCTGGTGATCCCTTCATTTAGCTATTTATTCAACAAGTTCTTCATTCATTTGCCAAAAACTGAGTATCCACTACATGCCAGGTACTGGGGATATATAGAGGTGGGTAGGCTCTGATGTCTGCACTGCATAGCACCGTCTAGTGGGAGGAGACAAAGAACTTCCAGTGTGGTAAGTGCCATGCCACCATGATGGAATGATGAGAATGGAATGCTGTAGAAACATAGCTCCCCATGGGAAAGACAAATCATAACAAGAAGTGACATTTGAGTTGGGTTTTGAAGAATGAGTAGGAGCTCACCAATCAGGTGGAAGCCATTTCAAACAGAGATCATCTTGCAGGAATGAGAGGTTATAACATTCAGGAATGGCAAGTTGCCCTGGGTAGACAGAAGCACAGCTGTAACTAGTGAGAAGAGTCTGGAAAGGAGGACTAGGGCCAGACAATGAAAGGAGTACCTTGAATGTCATCATAGGGAATTTGGATATTATCCTGAAATAAGTGGGGAGCATCAGGAAGCTTTTAATCCAAAGATTGACATGATTGTTGCTACTCTTGTCACATTATGTGAGATTAGGCTAGAAGAGTTGAGATATAGGGCAGGATGACTAGGCAGGAGGTGATGAGGCCCAGACTGTGGCCATGTGTGGAGGTGATGGCATTTGGAGTCACTATAGAGGTGGGCTGGCCAGGACCGTTGGGGAGGAGGGCTGGAGAGAGTAGAGTGGATGGCCAAGAGCTTGTCCCCAGGCCTATGCTAACTAATCTGTACATTCTAGATGTGACAGCATGGGGGTGGACTTTGACGTGAAGACTTTCTGCCACAACTTGCGGGCAACTAAGCCACCGTATGAGTGCCCCGTGGAGACCTGCCGCAAGGTCTACAAGAGTTACAGTGGTATCGAGTACCACCTATATCACTATGACCACGACAACCCACCGCCCCCGCAGCAGACTCCACTCCGCAAGCATAAGAAGAAGGGGCGCCAATCACGCCCAGCCAACAAGCAGTCGCCCAGCCCCTCAGAGGTATCCCAGTCACCGGGCCGTGAGGTGATGAGCTATGCACAGGCCCAGCGCATGGTGGAGGTGGACCTGCATGGCCGTGTCCACCGCATCAGCATTTTTGACAACCTGGATGTGGTGTCAGAGGATGAGGAGGCCCCTGAGGAGGCTCCTGAAAATGGCAGCAACAAGGAGAACACTGAGACACCAGCTGCTACTCCCAAGTCAGGCAAGCATAAGAACAAGGAGAAGCGCAAGGACTCCAACCATCACCACCACCATAACGCTTCTGTGAGCACCACTCCCAAGCTGCCAGAGGTGGTATACCGGGAGTTGGAGCAGGACACCCCTGATGCCCCACCCCGGCCAACTTCCTATTACCGGTAAGGCCACCTCTACCTCCCAACTCTGGAAAACTGGTCAAGCAGGGCTCAGGAGCTGGAGAAGTAACAGGCAGCAGAGAGGAGAGTGGCAGAGATAAAGGGTAGCAGAAGCACACTGGTCCTGCCAGGGCAGTGAGAGGAACAGTGCCCCAGCTAATGATGGTGGTACTTACTATATACTGCCACATGCCAGGCCCTGCACTGGGT